CAGGATAGGGCCGGGGATTTAGCTCAGTGGTTCCGGCGCCTGCCTTGAAATCTCAAGGTCCCGAATTCAATCCCTGGTAAAAAAAAAAAAAAAAAAAAAAAAAGACAGGATAAAGGGCAATGTGCAACTGTAAATGCTGGTATTAAAAAAGAAAAAAATGCTGGTTTTCAAGTCAACAATCCAATCTTGTACATTAACACTGGAAAAAGAAAAATATAAAGGAAGCAGAACTAGGGAATAAAGTTTAATACAGAAAGTTAACAGAAAAACAGAAAAATCAATGAAAGCAAACACCTATTCTTTGAAAAGATCAATAATACTGATGTATGTTTATTAGCTAGATTCACTAGGGGACAAAAGAAAAGAATCAAATTACTAAAATCAGGAATGGAACACAAAACATTACCACTGAATTTATGGAATTGGAAGGATTACAGGGGGCACTGTGAACACCTGTATGTCACACAATTTGATCACCTAAATGAAATGGCTAAAATTCTTAGAAAGACACATATGACTTAGAGAAGAAATAGAAAATCTGCAAAGACCTATATAACAAGTGTTAAGTTATTTAAAACTGTCCACACAAAATCCCAAATGAGTTCTACCATTTAAAAAATTAATACCAGCTTGTCACAAACTTTTCTAAAAAACTGAGGAGGGAATACCTCTCAGCCCATTCTGTGAGACCAGTCTTATGAAAGCAAAATAAAGATAAAAGAAAACTACATGAATATATTCACAAAAACCCTTTAACAAAATACAGCAAGCCAAATCCATCAACACTTGAAAATTATTATACGCTATAACCTGGTGACATCTACCTTACAGTAAGGTTAAACATCCAAAATTGAGCAGACTAAAGGACAAAAACCGAACCTGACCAAAGATGAAAAAAGAATCATTTGACAAAATCCAATGCTCTTTCATAATAAAAACATGCAACAAACTGTGAGTAGAAAGGAACTTCCTACAACTGCTAAAGGGCATTTATGAAAACCCCACAACTAACATCATATTTAATGGAGAAAGGCTGAGTGCTTTCTTCCTAAGCACTCAGCTTTAGAAGTAAGACAAAGTGTCTACATGCTTCAGTGCTGTTCAGGATTGTAGAGAAGGTGTGGTCAGGACAAACAGACAAGAAAAGGAACTAAATCACAGCCAGGATGGACAGGAACAAGTCAAACTATCTCTACCTGCAAATGCCCCAATCATCCATATAGAACATCCTAAGGAATCCACTAAATAACTAAGAATGAGCAGGTGGGTGGGAAGGGGAATAAAAAAGAATCAAGACATGTTCTATACATGCACTACTCCCCAACATGAGTGCAAACTTCATGTAGTAAACAAACAAACAAAAGAATAAATGAGGTCACTTAAAGGAAACAAGATCAATCTATAGAATTTAACTGTATCTGTATACCCACAACAATTGAAAAATGAAATTAGAAAATAATTCCACTTATCGCTAAAAATAAAAGAGGAATAAATTTAACAAAATAAATATAAAACTTATACTCTGAGAATCATAAAACATTGCTGGAGCCCAGCATGGTAGCACAACTGTGTAACCCCAGCTACTCTGGAGACTGATGCAGGAGGACAGCAAGTTTGATCCCAGCCTGGACAACTTGGTGTTACCTTGTTTCAAAGCAAAATTGAGGCTGGGCTTGTTGGCACACACCTATAATCCCAGTATATGGAAGTGGAAGGCCGAGGCAGGAGGATCTGTATGAGTTCAAGGTCAGGCTGAACTACATAGGGAGAGCCTGTCTCAAAAACAACAACAACAACAAAAATTTTTAAAGAGCTACAGTGCTTAGCTGCCACGCAAGGATCTGGGGTCAACCCTCAACTACCACAACCAACCAGCCAAACAAAAAAAAAATTGTTACAACAAATTCAGGAAAACCCCACTGGAAATAATTTTCACATAACTGAATAGAAAGCCTTCATATTGTTAAGATGGTAACACCTGCAAAGTGATTTACAGATTGAATGTGCTCCCCATACAATGATTTGAGCTGTCCTTTTCTGCAGAGCCTAATCCTAATATTCAGAAATATAAACAACCAGACTAGCCGAAACAATTCTGAACAAGATCTAAGTCAAAAGACACACACTTCATTACTACAAAACTATAGTAATCAATTCAGTGTGGTTATAGTCACAGAACAGAAACACAGCCCAAGTGAACAGAACTGAACTGACTGAGACAGCGAGACAGTTCAGTGGGGAACTCTTCTTAGCCAATAGTACAACAGGCTGAATCTGGATTGCTTCCTTACGGTACACAAATATTCACTCGAAACAGATCATACGCTTAAGCGAACAACCGAAACCATGAAATTCATGGGTGCCACTTCTCACCTAGTCGGAGGGCTGGAATGTAGAAGACAGAAGTCACACATATTGGCAGGAATGAGAACTGGAGCCCTCTTGCCTAAAATGGGGCAGCCACTTTGGAAAGCAGTTTGGCACTTTCTCAAAATACTAAAAATGGAATTACCACATAGCTGAACAACTCTATTCCTAAATGTCTACCAGGAGAAATAAAAATGTACGTCCACATGAAGAGTTATACCAAGATGACCATAACAATATTATTCATAATAGCCAGAAAGTGGGACTCACTCACTGTCCATCAACTGATGAGGGGGTAAATAAAATACTGCATAGCCAAATAATTAATTAATATCGACAATAAAAAAGAAAATAAAACCCACTGAACTGTACAGTTTTAATGGGTGAAAGCAATGCTATATGAATTCTATCTCAGAGAAGATGAAAAACATACACAGCAAATAGAAAGCGCTTAGCCAGCGCCTGAACCCCAGGGAGGCCATCGATGGTTATTTGTAAAATGCACCGCCAGATGTCCCTGATGCACAGTAGCTCTGCCTTTTATAGGTGTGTTTAACATGCTTGTGTCCTGAATCACAGACAATGCCTCAAAATGGAAATTTTCCAAATAAGCAGTGACTAAGCCCAAGAGCAGGACCTCACGGAGGACCCTAAGCAGTCCGTGGTCACGTGGTCAGAACAGAAACAGCCTGGGGGGGCGCTTCTCACCAATGTACCTGCTCCCCTTCGCGGATTTTCACAGGAGAATATGAGGAAACCACCCCAGCAGGGAGTAGGCAATGCCTCTAGCACTCAGTGTTGAGAAGGGCAAGCACAGGGTGGGCGTGGGATGCTTTGGGTGATGGGAGGGCCGGAAGAACAGGCCTAAACAGAGGGCACCGTGATACCAAGGGCCAATGTGGTGGTAAAGCAGCAGAAAGCTAAAATGACAAGTAGCATATCAAGAGTAACGACAGACACTAGTCACGTCCTTCTTTGCACCCAGAAACACTCAGAAGAGATAAAGGGCCTGGCGTGCTGCTGTACACCTGTAATCCCGGCACTCGGGAGGGTGAGACAGAGGAACACCGTGAATCTGAGGCCAGTCTGAACTACATAGCGAGACTCTGTCACAAACCACTCCCACCCCCAAAAGAAAGAGGATAGGAAGAAAGAGAATGAGCCACCAGGAAACTTATGAGATTAAAAATTCTTTAAATATACCTTTCAAGAAGCCATACCATACCTCACTTCTAGAAGATCAGATTGAGAAATGCACGGGCTTTAAATGATTGCAGCATTATTCACATCAACTGATAATAACGGATAATATTTCTTGAGTGCTTACCATGTGTCAGGCACTGTGTGCTAAATTCATCATGTTCTAATCCTCATCCCAACCCACAGCACAAACACTCACCCACCACAGCTAAAACTGAAGATGTACAACTGGCAGTAGGGATGTGAGTTCAGACAGGCAATTCCCAAGTCAGGAAACTACTACTGTACCTGTATGTAACAAGTGTGCTATCACTGGCTCATAAAATGAGTTTCAAGTGGAATAAATGGGACCGTCTTTGTACTTATACATAACCAAATATAGTCAGCATGTCAATTATAAATTAGTTACGTAAGGTTTCCTTTTCTTTTTGATTTTTGAGACAGGGTCTTACTATGAAGTTCTGGCTGACTTCGGACTCACTATGTAGCCCAGGTGGGCCTTGAATTTGCAGCAAGCCTCCTGTCTCGGCCTCACAAGTGCTGGGATTACAGGGGTGTGCTACCACACCTAGCTGGAAGGCTTCTTTTTGAAATAACAATATAAGAATTCTCAACTTTTTTTCTGAGAAGGTGCAATTTTGAGTCTTCTCCTCCTTTTTCCTAGTTTCAATGTTCCTAAAATGTTTGTGTAAAAAAAACGTGTCCTAAAATTCTTTGTTCTAGTCTCTTATTTGTTTGGGGTTTTTCTGAGACAGGGTCTCACTATGTAGCTCAGGTTGGCCTTCAACTCATTATGTAGCCCGGGCTGACCTTGAATTTGCGGCAATTCTCCTGCCTCAGCCTCCCAAGTGCTGGGATCACACGTTTGTGCCACTATGCCTGGCTGTTCTAATCTCTTAAAATATAATGTAATCACTCCAAAATACATTTCTCATTGCTTTGGAGAAATCACTGTGCATAAACACACTGTGTTCTGTCCCATCTCTGAGTGAGCATCTTTCTCAGGCAGTAATTTCCTGCTGTCAGACTGTCTTTTCTCTATTTTATCTAATCTTTTCTGAAGCTCCAGGACCAAGTCATTTACCTATTTCCTTGAAGGCCTCAGAGTATTTTCTTTCTGGTAAGGTCTGCAGGGAATCTGGTAGGCATGTGACAGTACTGTTTTAAAGGATGGGGTTATGTGAGCGTCCCTCCTCGAGGGCACCTGTGAGTGTGATAAGCTTCCCAAAGAAAGTCAGTCAGCACGGGTTAAGAACTGTGTCACCACAAAGAACCTTGAAGGGCTACAGACTGCGCCCAGAGATGCATTTCTCATCCACCAGAGCCCCGTGGAGAACCCGGGAAGCAGTGAAGGGGCAAATAAACTATCTCTGGCCTTCTCCATGGAGGCTGGGACTTGAGAACCTGCCAGGTCGGGGAGGCGCCTCACCCACCTGTGCATGTTCCCGTTGGTGGTGAAGGACTGGCCACAGACAGTGCACTTGTAAGGCCTCTCTCCAGAGTGCACCAGCATGTGGCGGTCCAGGGAGCTGGCCGAGCTCAGCGACTTCCCGCAGATGCTGCACGAGTGGTCGGCTCCTCCAGTGTCCGTGTTGTGCTGTGGGAAGAAAGCAATCACCACTATCCCTTGAGGAGACAGGCAAAAACTCAGCTGTTAAGACATGCAGATCTAGAGCTTTATAAAAACCAATACATTTTCTCGGCTATTTTTTTGTTTCACTTTAAGTCTCTTTCCAAAGGACCAAAATGTATCAGTGTTACGGTTTAGGCCCCAAAGTCCCATGTGTCTTTTTGGAGGGTGATGGGATCATGAAGGCCCTAACTTCATCCATGGGTTTCTCTGGCGACAAGATCAGATTTGATGGCCTGTCGGGAGGTGACAGAAGGAGGAGGCAGGGCTAATGGAAGGGAGCTGGTGAAGGCATGCCCATGGGGACCTTACTTCCTCCCTAGCTCCTTCCTCTGGGCTTCTCCCCCTGGCTCTCTGTTTGCCATCAGCCAGGAAGCAGGCAGCTGTGCTCCACCTCGTCCTTCACCACAATGTTCTGCCCACAGCAGACTGAAGCCTTCCAAACTGTGGGCCACAATAAACTTTCCTCCTTCGAGGTGACCGTGCCAGAGATTTGGGGGCTGCGATGGAAGCTGACTATCACAGTCAGGAACACAGGCAAATAACTGTTCTGTGTGACCTTCCATGTCCCTGTGAGGATCAGAGACAGGTGAGGCTTTTGCAGGTCTTTCTTAGAAACACACAGATCAACTGATCGAACGTATTAACTCCTGTGGCAGAAGGAGTCCCAACTACGCAGCAAATATGTGCAACAGGATTCTCACAGAGTCCCCATCCCTGCTTCAGTTTGCTGACTCAGGCCTGCTGTCAGAGGAGGAGAACTGAAACCCACACTGAGCAGAGCTCTGGCTTCCGGTATCTGGTCTGGGACATTTCCATGCAAACCCAAGTTAGCGCCCTGATGTTACCAGTCAGCAGCATGTTAGGACTTTAACAGATCATCAGTCCTTCACTGTTCTCAATTCATCAGTAGTCTGTCGTGAATCGGCTACGGTAGGAGCGGGAGGAGTATAAATCTACCAATCTCATAGTAAAGGAAAAAAGATCCCAAGTTGAGTAAAGTCCTAGCTGCATGATAGAAATTTATACCAATATAAAGAACAGGGATCGACATCTACAACCTCAAACCATAAGGGATTCGATTCATACTGACAGGTCACAGCTGATGAGATCCTGGGTTCATGTAAGCACCCAGTGAACTAGATGTTTATGACAGTCCAGGCTCTGTTATGGCACAGTACCACGAGCACACAAAAATTATTTCATAACCGCCCTCCAAGGTTATAAAATATTACATCAAAAGTAAGTACAGTTCACACTTCATCCATCAGAACCAAAGACCTTGAGCTCTGTGAATGAAGAATAATGTAAGACGAAAATACAGAAGTGCAGCCAACCTGACGGATGTGCATAGTCAACTGGTGCTGGGTAGTGCAAATCTTTTCACACAGCGGGCAGTTGTAGGAAGACTTCTCCTCTTTCGTTTCCTAAAGAGAGATTAAAATGGAGGAGGAATTTTAAATCACTATAGGCTGTGCCTCTACTTCTGTAGCAAGCCTGTGTCTGTAGCGCTGGCGCTAAGGAGCTGAGAGCACCTGGCCCGAGATGGCCCACGCTTGGGCAGGTCACCTCCCCATCTGTACCCAGTTTCCTCCTGTGCCAGTGGTATGGACAGACACACCGTGCTACAGTTCAGAGTAACGAGTATGTGTGAAGCCCTGCAGCAGGGCCTGCCACAGAGGACGTGCTCAATAAAGACAGAGTACGTGCTCAATAAACAGGAGCATTTCTATTATGCACACATCAGTTAATTGTCAGCAGTGATGGAGAAATAAGCATCAATCCCTTCCCCACTTTGCTAGGAATGGAATCTGGGTCTCTCCAAGTCTGTCCCAGTTGCAGACAGAATTTCCTGCCAGGTCTCAAGGCTCCTGAGGGTCTCAGGAAAAAACCCACACTCCCAATGGCAGGAGCTCTCTTGGTGCCCCGCTTCACACCCACTGGGCCTTGCAAGAAACAAGAACCGACAGGGGCAACCCCCTGACTGACGACTTCCCCACAAGGCAACAAACAAGCAGCCTGCTACTTGGTGAGGTGGCTCATTTCATGTTCCCTCAAAACATACATGATAGGCTCTCTTCAAGCAGTATTTTTACCGGTTTAAGAAAAGGCCAAATTCTTTCACTAACCCTTTGCTATAGCTCCTCTCTCAAAGTAATTCAGGAGGAGCTGTGAGGGCCTGTGCAGTTCGTGGCACCACGGGTGTCTGTCTCTGTCTCCAAAACTGAGTCCAGGTCTGCACTCCTCTCCCAGGAATTTGGAATTCAGAGATGGCCACCAGGGAGTTTCCAAGATCAGCAGGATTGCAGCGGGGAGCTCTGGGAAATACAGTTCCACCCTCCCTTCCCCTGCTGTCTTTGAGACAAGGCCTCAGTGTGTAGCTCAGGCTGGTCTCAAAGTCTTGATCCTCCTGCCTCAGCCTCCCCAGGACTGGGGTTACAGGCACGTGCCACCACGCCAGCCTTGTGAAAAATACTCATTTCTAGATCAAGCTCTTGACATGCTCATCACAATTACTGGAGACAGCAGTCTGTCTCACAAGCTCTCCAGAAGACACCGACATGTGCCCAAGTTTGGGAACAACAAAGTTACTAAGGCAGGTGACCCAGAGCATGACCACCGAGAATTCGTGTAGAGTCGGGGCCAGGCCCAACACTGGGGCATCTGCAAGCCATGAGAGAGCAGTGGGTGCTACCTGAAGCAGGAAGCCTGAGTTGGGCTAGGGGACCCTGGGGGCCCGAGAAACGCCGACTGCCCCAAAATGAGCTGTGTATCATTTCCTGCCCTTGAACGGCCTTCAGCAGAGCTCTTCTGTTCGCACTCAGTGGAGTAAGCTTCTTTCCTTGCAGAGTAACACCCATTATTGAGCACATACTATGTTCTGAACTCTGAATACAGACACAGCCGTTTGTTCTCATAACTGAGGCATCATCACTGCTTGGCGAGGAAACTGGAGGACCGAGGGTGAGTAACTGTCCCAAACGGGAGAGCAGTCAGGAAGCAGGCAGAGAATTAAGTCAGGCCAGCTGCTCTACAGCCCGGCTCTAAACCACGATGCTACATAAAGTCTGCCCAAGAAAAGGACTAGCCCCAAGGCAGAGGAAGGAACCCCTGTGGTTGCTCATGAGAGATGATGAAAATAAAAAGCCACCCCAAAGACTATAAACACAAATGGTGCCATAAACCGGATGGGTGAAGTGCGTGCGAGGTGCCCTTCTCAGTGCTGCAAGCCCTCTTCTCTCTGGGAGTGGTCTGAGCAGGGGGTACGCCAGCCACATGTTTCTCACGCTCCACACCCTGGGGAGAAAAGCCCCTGCCCTCCCTCAGTCATCCACATTTCCAGTCCTCTGAGACGTGTAACGGGGGACACGGGCGTCACACCTTCCCAGCCCAGCTTCGGCCCGTAAGAATGGAGCTGGCCAAGGAGCCCCCAGGAGAAACAAAGCCAAGAGGTACAAAAGAAGAGCACAAGCCATAATAGCAAGGGGTCTCTCGCCGCCGGGCCAACTCTGAGGGCCAAGTTCAATCTCAGGGGCATTTCTGATAAACCATTAGATTAGCGAAACTAGATTGGAAAAAAAATTTTTTTTAAAAGAATGACTCACTGATATTGTGTAAATACATATGAAAAACTCAAGCCTCAGCTGACACAATGGCTCATGCCCATGGCACCAGCTACTCAGCAGGCTGAGGCAGGAGGACTGCTTGAACTCAGAGTTTGGGAGCATCTGGCAACACAGCAAGACTCATCTCAGAAAAGGGGCAGCCCCTTGAGAGGACACAGAAATCATCTTGCATTCACCTTGAAGCAGACACCACACACTGTGTGGAGGCTCCCGGGCTCCCTGATATTGACTCTAGGGTTGATCATTAACCGCCACAGACCTGCGGCTGCAATGGTGCTATGCAGACCGTGATGTGGGCCCACAAAAATCCCAGGTGGTCTGGGAGAGGGGGGGTCCGAGGGACTCAGGTTTACCCGTTTCTGAAAGCGACCCACATGGAAAGGAGCGCCGTGGAGCTGGAAAGGCCTCCTCGGGAATGCTGAGGCCTGGCACCGCAGCTGGGCAGGGGTGCGAAGCACACTTCCTGAGCGGCGAGATGAAATTAGCAGCTGATGTGATAACTAACCACCCCACAATGAAGCAATCTGGGCCCCAGTCAGCCCCGGGCCTGGCTAATCGGCCCTGGAACTCTGTGCTCCTTCGCACGCCCTGTGCCCGGCCTCCCTCACTCGTCCTGCCCGTCCAGCTCACAGGTGAGGATGCTCCCTTCATCCCCACGCTGCCCACCTCGAATCTGGCTTTCTGAAATTCGGGACTGTGTGCAGCTGGCTCTTTCTGGCCCACACTTCCCTTTCAAAACCAAAGCCAGGACCCCAGAAACCTCAGGAGAGAGGAGGTGGATGACAAGTGGCCCTGCTGCACGTGCACATCTGCCTCTGCACCCGGCTGAGCAACCTCAGTAGCCCCGAGGACCTCTGAACGGCGGGCAGGCAGGGACCCAGAGCCTGGGCTTGGGCCAGCTTGGCCGGCGCCATTTAAGGAAAAGCTCTAGCCTTCCCTCTGCTCATCCCTGGTAGAGCTTGAAGATGGCAGTGGTGGCCCTGTGTGTCTTCTTCGCCCCAAATGCTTGGCACCTGGCACAGTAGCCAGTGGGAGGGAGGAGCTGGGTCTGTACTGTTAAATGGCTGAGCAATGGAGATGACGGTAGGTGGATGGACAGATGGACAGATGGAGGGACAGGCACATGAGAGTAGAAATCAACCTTTTCTTCCTGGAGCTAGTGCTCCTTCTCGACTCAGGCCACAGTCACGCAGGCTGAGTATTTTCTCAGGCACCCACAGGAAGAGAGGCACACGGAAGCAAGGGAGAAAAAGAGAGAAAAGAATCAGTGCTCCAACCCAAGGCATCACTAACTGCTGATCCTGTCTTGAGCAAGGTGTGGAGAAATGCACAGGCTCCCACACTTCCGGTGGGACTTGGGGATGGCACCACCTTTCCTGGAGAGCAAGCTCGATTAAGGCTCTACTTCTGAGAATTCATAGATGTGCTCAGAGAATTTTGTATAAAGAGAGTCATGAAAAGATTGTCAGTAAAAAGCCAGGTGACGTGGTGCGCACCTGAATCTCAGCACTCTGAGATGCTGAGGCAGGAGGATTGCAAGTTTGAGCCCAGCCTGGGCAACTTAGCAAGGCTGTCTCTTAAAAAAAAAAGAACAGGAAGGAAGGAAAAAAAAGGCCGCTGGTGATGTAGCTCAGTGCATCTGGGTTCAACCCCAGTCCTACTAGAAAAAAAGATTAGTAATAAAAAGGAAAATTAATTCACAAAGGCCCAACACATTTGCTTTCTTGTCCATCGGTGGTTCCTAGAAGACCACCTTCTCTCCAGAAGTTCAACAAAAAATTAAACATGCATTTGTCAGTTTATACTGTAAGACTCTGGAGGTGAGCTGAGGGCTCCATGCCTGCCTCTCTCCTCAATCTATGTACTCGGGACAGCAAGTTACCACGGGGACAGCTCCAAGTGCCCCTTTTATCCACTAACGAAAACACTCCTCCTATTTCCCAGTGGAGGAGACTCAGACTAAGTAGTGGCACTCACCCCTCCCGGTGCCTGTCCTCCATTTACTCTTTCCACTTCTCCCGATCCTCTGCCCACTGAAAATTCAAGAGGACTAAACAGAATATTAAGTGGAATTCTCTGAAGCCAAATTCTGTGTGCTTTCAAAAATGCAAAGCTCAACAGCAGCCCCTATACAAACAGGACTTACTGTCTAATCTGAAGACATGAAAAATTAATTATTATTTTTTTTAAAAAACCGAGTTCTAAAAACCCAATAAGGAAAGAAATCACCACAACACAGCAGAGATATAAAGTCCAGTTCACTGCCTTGACCATCATGTGAATAAAGCTTGTGTTTAAATCAAATCATGGGGCAAAGAATAAAAGTAGTTTCACCAGCACTGACACCACAGCAAAGAAAATTTCCTCCATGAAGGGAAACTGACATAAGTTATGAAAAGTCTGCTCCTGAAGCATGACTCTGGCCTCTGGGTATGCCTGTTACAGGAGGCACCCAAGGCTTTGTAGGAGCTGAGGAACTCTTCCCACGTGCTCACAGACCAGACGGGCGGGCGGGATGCGAACCCAGCACACACACACTTACCTGGTTCCTTCTGCCAATCCGATTTGGTCCTGGAGGCTTTGAAGAGGACTTAATCCCCTGAGGGCTCCCGCCATTCTCTGCCACATTCCCTGCATTCATTACTGCTGACATCATGGTGTTGATGGAAGACAGGTCTGAGCCTTCCAAGCCAATGGGAGAACTTGACGTCATTGGGACAGGGGTTTACACCTCTAGGAAGCCTCTGCCGTAGATCTGAAGATTGGAAATTACAGAGGTGATCGTGGTGAAGTTCAGGGTTCTGTCACAGCGAAGTATTGCTGGCCATAGGCAGTGTAACTTAAGTCAGATAAAAAACCGGCCAACACCCCCTTCCTTGTCCAAGCCTACACTCGTGAGGCACCCATGGTGATTTCAGCTTTCATCTAATGCGGTCTTGGCGCACCAAGCCTAACTCTTAGCCTTACTTTTTGGAGTGCATATCTCTGCTTTTCTTAATCTTTTTCCCTCCTACCACTAGGGGTTGAATTCAGGAGGGCCTTTGCAATGAGCTGTATCCCCAACCCATTTTTATATTTTGAGATAGTGCTATGAGTTCGAGGCCAGTGTGAGCTACACATTGAACACTGAATTCAAGACCAGCCTGACCTACACAGTAAGATCCTCTCTCAGAGAACCGCCCCCCCAAAACCCAAAACAAACAAACAAACAAAAACAACCCTGCTCAAAATGAAACAAAAGTTTAACAAAAAAATAAGCAGAGGGCCAGGGATTTAGCTCAGTGGTTTCGCCACCTGCTGCACACGCGCCAGGACCAGAGTTCGATCCCTGGTACCAAAAAAAAAAAAAAAAAGCAGAAACATACATATTTTGAGATAAGGTCTAGCTAAGTCATCCAGGCTGGACTCGAACTCGCAATTCTCCAACTTGCCTCAGCCTCCTACAGTGCTGGGACTGCAGGTGTGTCACCACACCCAGCTACCTTTCTTAATCTTCTGAGCACAGGTGAGGAAGGTGAGCCAACAAGGAGGGAACCAACAGCTGCCATTTGGCTAACACCCTCTTTCATAATCTATACTCATTTTCTACTACTTTAGGACTCCAGACCTAAAAACCAGTGATAAGAAACCAGATTTTATTTAACTCTATGGTTATAATATAGTGATTTTAATGCGAATCCCAAATTTGCTAAGAGACTGAAGAAGCCAACCTTATCAAACTTATAATTTAAAAAAAGGCTGGTTCTTAAAAATACCAGTTGGTGCCACATCTGTACCCCAGCAAATGAGGGACTGAACACCTCCTCTCCCCTCTGCTAGTTACCTCCATTTTCTGCCCGCAGTGACAAACTTCAAAACTTCCCCCGGCTACTATTATCATCCATGCGTGGCAGGGATGATTCTGTGTTGGCTTCTTCCTTCTTGTGGTGTCACTCGTCACTGGAAAGGAAACAGAGGGAGAAGATTCAGTGAGTGTCTTTTCACTTAGCGAAGAAAAACTGAAAATTGTTATTTGCCATGGTCTCAGCCCACTATCTTCACGAAGACACAAGCAGCATGAGAGTCGATTTCTAAGTCCTGTCCGTCCCAAATCTTACTCTGCTATTTTCTATCCCTAAGGCCTGCTGCAGATCTGCCACCCTCACTCTTGACAGCCGAGAAGATTTTGCTGTTTTTTTCTGAAGCTCATATTCACACACAGAATTTTCTTTCAACCTACGGCCTAGTTTTTCACAAGGAATCTCAGAGCCTACCTGACCCACCTCTTGCCTCTACCTAAACTGACCAAAGACATAACAGAAACGGAATTCACGGAGTCTAGGTGCTTTTGGGTCAGACCTAAGAAAACACCTGGCAACACAGAAAGAATGACCAAAGGGGAAAACTACGGCCTCTGCTGCGGCAAACTTTACTTCAGATCACTTCTATTTCTTATGACTGAAAGACTGTGGCCACTGCTAATAAGTCCACTGATAAAATGTCTCCCTCATTTTATCCGGGAAGGTCTTCCCTATCTGAACCCCTATAGTAATATTATCTTAATATTCTGTTGTCCCACAGTGTGCATTAATAAATTTTAGAAGTCTAGCTTCCTTGCCCCAGCTGTGTAGGGTGTGTGTAAAAACATGAGAACACAATGTCACGTAGTTTCCCCACCAACTTTAGGGAAATATGACAAATGGCCCCTCCGGAGCAGCTCCGAATGTACTGACTTCACCAACAGCACAGAATGGCCGGGGACACAACTCTGTTCCGTGCTGCTCCACCAGCTAGGACTCAAACTAAAATCCTATTGAAAGGGTCAAAGAAAAAGAAAAGTGGACACAAATGACCAGGTTAAAACAAATAAATAGTAGTAATAAAAGGTCAGAGATAATCTTGGAGACAAAAATGTGCCTTCCTTGTTGCTGTGGTTTGAAGATGTCCCTCAAAAGTTCATGTGATGTAAATTTAATCCCCATTTCCTATGTTAATAGTATTTGGAAGTGAACCTTTGAGAGGTGATTAGGATCAGGTGAGTTCTAGCTGGGCCTGGTGGTGAAAGCCTGTAATCCCAGCATTCAGGAGGCTTAGGCAGGAGGAGCCTGGGCCACATAGTGCACAGCCAGCCTAAACTATATAGGCAAGGCCCTGTCTCAAACAAACAAACAAACAAACAAATGGATCAGATGAGTTCCTGAGAGTAGGGCTCCCATGGTAACATTAGTGACTCCATAGCAGTGGTGGTGAACTACAGCACGAGTGCCACAGTGGGCTGTCTGTATCACTGAAAGCGCTAAAAGGTTTGCCATCACCTTTCTTCTGGAAGAGGAAGAGGTGCACCTGGGCTAGCATCTTGCTCTATACTGCCATGTGATGCCTCCACCAAGTGATAGCACAGCAAGAGGACCTCACCAGATGCTGAGCAGATGGGGGCACCATGTTTCTGGACTTGCCAGGTTCCAGAACCATGAGCCAAATTTTTACTCTTATAAATCACTCAGTCACAAGTATTCTGTGTGGCAACAGAAAGGGTACTAAGACAGATAAAAAGGACATTGTGAAGAGAAACCAAAGGGTTTTCTAAACAGTAGAAAAAGGGAACAATTGCATACAACTCAAGACTCCCAGCGGGGCCTGGTGGCTCAGGGTTTTAATTGCAGCACTCAAGAGGTGGAGGCAGAGGATAGCAAGTTTGAGCCCAGGATGGGCAACTTACCAACTCAGTGAGAGCCTGTCTCAAAATAAAAAATGGGGCTGGAGATGTAACTCAGTGCAAAGGTCCTGGGTTCATTCCCCAGTACTGAGGCAGGACTTTAGGGCACTGCAAACTGGCTAGGAAAGCGTGTGTGACCTGTCAATTACAAGTTCCAGGACACATGCACAGAACAGTTCCCAAAGCCCCGTGCACGGAATCAATCAGAGGGTGCCAACTTCAGTTCTTCTCATGAGAACCCAAGCAAGTTTCTGATAGGACGGCTTAGATGTGACGTCAGCCTGGGGAGCAGAGGGTACAAAAATGGCAGCCATGGAGCGCTTGGCCACTGCGATTGCTCACAGCGGTCCTCTGACTGCAGAGCGTACTTCTAATTCTTACTTTTAACTGGCCCACACTCGGACTGCACAACATGTTTCTCGTCTTTTCCTACTTTTAATCAATGTCAAACCTTGCTACTTTTTTTACTTGTTTTGTCCATTGCTTTGTTCGGAATAAGAAGAACCTAAAAAATATTGTCAGAAGGAGACCCTAGAATCTCCAAACAGTACCACACACACACACACAAAACTGATCCAGCCTTAGCTCCCACATCTTTGCCCATATGGAAAAGCCTCAGCCAAAATGAAAGGAAAAGGGCCGGGGATTTAGCTCAGTGGCACTGCGCCTGCCTCGAAAGTCCAAGGTCCTGAGTTGGATCCACAGTACCAGAAAAGGGGGAAAAGAAATTACAAAATGAAAAGAAAAAACCTAAGTTATTGTCTTTCCATGCAGTTTCCCCATGTTGGCAGACAGTTTTAACAACTGGGCTTCATTCTTCCTGTTTTTAACTACCTTGTTTATTTGGGTGATTTCTCTCTAGGAAAAAAACATGCACACACGAGTCCACACATATATATGTACACAAAATGCTTTCCTTGGATCGCAACAAAAGTGTCCTCAGTCCCCTGGAATGTTTGTGACCAACTGGCATGTAATTAGGTACTTGGTTTCTGCATGGATAACTTCAGTCCTGAGCTCACCTCATCCTTTTAAATCTCTCTCTCTCTCCAGACTGTATGTATCTCTCCACCTACAGATTGTGTGTGTGGTGCTGGGGATTGAGCCCAGGCCTTGAATGTGCTAAAACAGTGCTCTGGCAGGAGAGGAGAGAGGGGGCCCCCCCGAGGAGCTGCTCTCTGTGAAGCAAACCTCGGCCAACCTGCGAGTTCTCACCCCACATCGCAGGTTCAACAGATCAAGAAGGGTAAGCAAATCACAGTTATAACTTTAGCCTGACTCTGTGACACATCTGAGAACGACCTGGAAAAGAGGGAGGACAATTCTAGGGGAGGAGCAAAGGAGAGAGAGAAAGAAGATTCAACATTCACCATTACCATGACTCAAGAAAGTCTACGAAGCTCGACTGACCTGTTTTCCTTATCACGCTGCCCTCCTTTACCGAGGAGCCGACCCTGACTAGGCCCAAAGGGAGGCAGAGTCACACCTCAAAGCCACCACTTCTGGAGCACAGAGTGGCAGTAACCTGCAAAAATGAGAAAAGGTGATGTTAGAGGGGCTGAGACCAGAAATGATCCCGCCTCTGTGTAATGTCTTCTAATAACAGCACCAGGGGTCACGGATGAGGACAGGAGCCCGGCCCTGCCTGCCTGCCTGCCTGCAGTTATGAGCAAGCTGCCATCAGATGCCTCGCAGAGTGGACCCATCAGCACCCAAGCAGGCAGGCAGGAGCTGCATGCACCCCAAGCAGACAGAATGATGCCCCGCCCCGCCCCAAGCACAGCAGGGAGCTGGCTCCAGGTGGAGCTTCAACCAACTGAACAGCACGCTGATGGTGGAGCCTGATGGTCCTGCAGTTTACAGGGAAGAGAAAAGTCGGCATTCAGCGCCTCAGAAACGGTGAAGCTGGGCATGGTGCTGCACACCTATAATCCCAGCACTCAGGAGGCAGAGGCAAGAGGGTCATAAGTTCCAGGCCAGCCTGGGGTACACAGTGAGACCCAGTCTCCAAAAGGCGGGGAAGAAGGAGAGGAGAGATAGAAGAGCTAAAGAAAATAGGAAATATGTAACTAATGCCTTAAAGTAGACATTATCACTATTTTCCTGAGTGAAGGGAAGAGTCTTTGGCACGCCAGACCGGACCAAATGTACACCTTTTCCTTTCCGGAGGAGGATGCAGAAAGCGTTTCTCACTACCCTCATCCCTCATGAGTCGGGTAAAGTCTGCTCTGGGTTGCCAAGGGCCCTCAGAGCCCAAGCTGGCCTCCAGACCAGTGTTGCCAAAGCTACGGCACTGGTGCATTTGTCACTGCTTCTGCACACACAGCTAAGAGCACAGAGCTGGGCGAAGACGCGGGAGAACAGGCGCTGGGAGCGTGCTCAGTGGGAGAGCATTTGCTCAGCAAGCGTAAGCACTGGGTTCCACCTCCAGGGCTGGAAGAAAAAAGGGGAAGAAGCAGGGAAAAGCCCATGTGGACAACACTTGTGGGGAAACAATTGCTTGCCATGTTTTCTCACTTTTATGTGTTTTTGGGTTGTCTGGAGATGAGCTGCCCAAGTGTGTCACTTGACTATCACCCGACTCTTCTGCAGCTCGAGCACCTTGGGCAGACAGCCCTGAGGCTGTGCTGGGCTGGTGGGGTGAACAAGGCGTCGCAGCTCGGTCTGCAGAAGCAGCTCCTCTAACCTGGACACCAGGATGTGCCCCGAAGTTTTCCTCTCTTGACACTTTACTGCTTCAACTCTCCACTTTGAATCCATGCTATTTTCTTTTGAAAAGTTCTTTTGATTTTAAAGTATCAAAAAACAGAGTAGCAGGGTGGGCGGTGGGGGGGAATAGCCCTGTAATCTGAGCACTCTGGGAGGCTGAAGCAGGAGGATCAGAAGTTTGAGCTTAGCTGGGACAACTTAATGACTTAAACAAGACCTTGTTTCAAAATTTAAAATTTAAAATTTAAAAAAGGGCTGGGGATAAAGCTCAGTGCAAAGGGCCTGCCCTGGGTTCAATCCCCAGTATCCACCTCCCCCCACCCCAAAAAAGACAAAGAAACAAACAAAGAAGGAGAGTCACTTACAGAGACAGCCTCTGACTGTGACCTGCAGACTGATCACCTTCCCAGCAGCTCCCAGTGTTCCCTAGGTCAGGAACCTCGAGGAGCTGATGAAAATTCTGTGTCCCCACCTGAAGGCACATGCTCCACACTCAAAATTCTCAGTACCAGGTCAGGAGCACAGGGTGAGTGCTCGTTTTACTTGGTATAGGACCAATCTTCTTTTAAACTACGCATCAAAGGGGCGGGGATTTAGCTCAGTGGTTCCACTGCCTGCCTCCTATGCACAAGGACCCAAGTTCAATCCCCGGTAAGAACAACAACAACAAAAGACAGTCAACTATGAATCAACCAACTTTGTTCAAATTCCCATGCAGTTTTCAGAAATGCACAAACTTTAAAGCATCCTCCCAGATCAACCCCAACTATTTAAACTTGTAGCCACCTAAGAAAACAGTTTTAAAAAAAGACTTTCTTTCTCTTTTTATTCATTTTTAAATTAATGGGAGGGTAAGGGTATAGCCCAATGATAAAAGCCCTGCCTAGTGTACATGAGGCCCTGGGTTCAACCCCCAGCATTGCAAAAAACCACATATTTATTACATATATATTTGGTACTGGGGATCGAACTTGAGACCTTGCGCTTGCGAGGCAGGTGGCGGAACCACTGAGCTAAATCCCCTGCCCTATTACATATATTTTTAAAACATAAATTTTATTGTTAAGAAAGAAGAAAGTCTCAGCAAGGCCATGGTGGGTTAAACCTTTAATCCCTACACTCAGGAGGCTGAGGTAGGAGGGTCACAGGTCTGTGGCCAGACTGGGCTACATGGTGAGTTCAAGGTGAGCCTGATTACATACTGGGACCCTATTTCCAAGAAAAAAAAAGAGGTCCAGAAAGGCATACCCCATGTTTTTTTCTAGAAACTACTATATTAAGATCTCCAAAAGTAAAATGAACACATAATTTTAAAAGCAAAACCCACAGTTTGGAGTCAGAGACAACTGTCTCGTACTGAAGTTTTCCAGAATACGACTAAAACTTCCATTAAAATTTAGACCCATTTCTTCCTCTCATTTAAGATACAGTACTTAAAAAAAAAAAGTTCACCGGTAACTTCCCCTTCACAAACATGGAGAACCAAGGGGGCAGGGCTCTGTTAGAGAAAAGGGCCAAGCTGTGACTCGTGACTTTGAAACCTCATCCTCTGACCTTGGATACACATGATCTGAATATTGAGAATGTCTTCCAATTAAGCTCAGTAACAGTCACCACCCTATGTGTTTTAGGTTCCATGAAGCCTAAGAGACGTACACAACTGGGAGAGTGGAAAAGTACAGGACAGTTTTGGAAGGAACTCCAAGATACCCCTTACCTCCATTACCACTGCCTGGGGACCAAAAAAAAAAAAAAAAACCCAAAAGGCTATGCTCCCGTAGGTCAAAGAGGACAAAGGCGGACTGAGAGAGCTGGGGAGGGTCCAGGAGGCTGGATTTCTGGATTGTCATTTCCACAGGCTTCGAGCGTCTGGAGAGGGCAGAGGTCCCCTTGGGAGGAGGAGGAGGGGCAGAGGACAGCCAGCCCCAGCCCCAGCCCCCAGGAGATAAGGGACAATGCTTTGTAAAGCCAGAGAGATTAAGGAGCCTGTCTCGGGTCCAGTGAGATAGCAAGAAGAGATGAAAGATAAAGGGGAAGATGCTTTAGGAGCAAAGGGTGGTGTCCCAGCTTCTTCAAAAACCCAGGGTTTCTGAAGTAAAATCTGAAATCTGTCCTTCGGCCCCCAGGAAATAAAGGGTAACATGCCTAGGATGGTGGCAGAGGCCTGGAATTTCCAGCACCTCGGGTGGTGCAGTGCTGCGCCCCACGATGTCTGCAGCCCAGCACAGCTAACTGGCACAGGCCCTGGAGGGCGAGGGGCTCGGATCGGATGCTAAGACGGTCTGAGCCACACCAGAGCCTGGCAAGCAGCAACTGGGTTTCTTAAAGGATCAGCCAGGCGGGGGGACAGAACCAAACCTGACTAGCTCTGGTGCCCAGGCCAAGCCTGCTCTCCTCCCGCCTGCAAAGCCTGGGGCAAAACTGCCTTCCTCCTGACTAGGAGCCTTGCCTGAGCTCGGAGACAGCTGGGATGACAGCTCTGAGCCTCCAGGTTCCAGGAAGTTGATGTGTTTCTTGGCTTAGGGTATGGGCTAAGCCTTGGATAGGCGGCAACTGTGAAAGTTGCCCAGCCCATCCTGCCTGAGGCTGGCACCTGGCACAGCCTTGGATAAAAGGGACCCTTGGAGCATCACGCAGTGCCTCCCAGCAGATCCTGCGCACGCCACTGGACACAAGCTGCTCCAGCTCAGGAGCTTCCCTGTGTGGGTGCAGACAGGCGGCTGAGATGTGGGGTGCTCCCCTGTGCACAGGCCGCATCCAGAAGAGAAGGGTAGGGCAGGGGGCCAGTGAACCTGCTTTTGGGTTGGCTTCTGAGCTCCAACACTCCCTGTCCCCTAAGACTACAGGAAACAGTGGAGTGCTCTACCCTTCACCCAGGAGTCTCCGTGCTTTGGTCAGAGCTTATCTTCTGACTCTGGTGGCCGCCAATCCCAGTTACCTCTGCTCAGTTCCTTCTCCCAGCATCACTCCTGGGCCAACAGTCTGCAGGGCCCTGTGCACACGATGCCTCGCTGATGCCCACTGACCCTGGGACACAGCGACCCTGGGCCCTGCCATTGGACCTGCGCCCTGTGTACTACACACCAAGGGTACTGTCTTACTTCACCTGCACGCCAAGCGCTGGAGACCAGCCTAACTGTACAGATGAGAGAGCTAAGGCTTGGTGGGCTGAAGTCATTTGGCTCCAAGGCCCCCGGTGCTGAGTGGGAGAGCAACGCAAACCCTGTTTCTGAACTCAAGCTCTTCTCAGACAAGATGTGCGGCCCTGGCACAGGGCTGGGCAGCACAGATGCGCTCCCTCAGTCACATTTCCTGCCTTCTCACAATCTTGTTCTGAGTTATTTCTGCCCTCCCAGATGCTCGGTGCTGGGCCTTCCATTCCCACCTATTTCTGGGGAAGAAAAAGGAGTGGCCCCCCCCCACCTCCCAGGCCCCCAGTAAGAGGCCAGCCTGGGCTTCCACCACTGCAGAAAAAATTCACTGTGGCAGGCCAAGGATGGGAATTACTATGTTTGCTGTGCGGAGCGACAAGGGCCTTCACAGTCCACATCCTCAAGTTCTAGAAGTAGCCAGGCCAGGGAGGCTAGAAGGAAGCCCCGAGGCTCAGCTTGAATCCCAAACAACCTGGTCCTGTCCAGCGGCTGATACAACTGACACAGGTTGCCTCTGCTTCCATGGAAACCATGTGCGGCCTTTGGGCAAAAGGGGGTCATGCTTTGGGTCCTGGGCTGCGTGTGTGTGTGAGGGGTGAGACAACCAGCTCCAAGCCAATAACGTGCATATATCCGAAGAAGTGGGGGCAGGAGGCAATGGCCG